GTGTGAGTGTGTGTGTGTTTGTATACGTCTATAATCCATAGTGTACATACATACATTTACCTATAGGTCTATTTACTATAGTATACATATATGTATATACTTTAGAGTGTACTATAATATAGATCAGTTGTGGGCGGGCTCTCATATTCACGCACACATGTATAGTTACGAGATAGTTTCGAAGTTGCTTGTGTAGGGAACTTAGAATGCCTGTAGTTTCGTACAATACACTGTACGTTGGGCATATGCTCTAAAATATGCAGATATAGATGAACATGAGTCATATATAGATGTACATAAGTCATATGTATGTGTACATGAAATATATAGATGTATGTGAACCATATATCTATATATGAATGAATCTTCTTTCTGCCTCGTATTGAACTCACTTTCTTGGTCAGAATCGTTGGTTTCGTAAACTGAAAGTCCACACCCATCCACACCACCATTGAGCAGCAGCTCACGGTCATACACTGTTCTACTGGATAATTGACAACTATGAGCGGCCTAGTAACACCCACCAAACGCATCCTGCGACCTCTGCTGAACGTAGTGCTGGTGGACCCATGTATCCCACAGAACACCGGCGCCATCTCAAGGCTCTGTGCGGCGACTAAGGTACGCAGGCGAGTACTTGACGTATAGGTGTATGCTTGCATAGTTGCTCTCACAACGTGTGTGTGAGTGCGAGTGTGAGGCTCCTGGATAATTGTCTACTGTCAGTGGTCTAGGCACGCACACCAAACGCTTTCGACAACCGTTGCCTAATTCGGGTTTGGGCGACATGTTGTGTGTGTGCGCAGTGACCTGTGTTTATTTTCCGGGTGTTCTATTGAGAACCATTGAATGGGTATGTTCGTGACTGCTGCACTCGTTTTTTCAGTGGTGGATTCCTGGATTATTGGCCATTATAGGTGGTAGGTATGCCCCACCACACCACATGTGTTGGTCGCCACAAAACTGTATGACAGTCCTTAGCAATTCAATTGGACGATCCAAAACGTATAGGCAGTCTCATTTCTAAACGACACGAACGCATTTGGCCACACCAACCTGCAGGTGCACATGATTATTGCGGGCACCCCTAAATTCAAGGTATGTTGTGACCCTATAGTCAGAGTATACACACAC